AGAGTGTGTGTGTGTGGGAGAGTGTGTGTGTGTGGGAGAGTGTGTGGGAGAGTGTGTGTGTGTGGGAGGTGTGTGGAGGGTGTGTGTGGGAGGGGTGTGTGGGGTGTGTGTGAGAGTGTGTGTGTGTGTGTGGGGAGTGTGTGTGTGTGGGAGGTGTGTGTGGGAGATGTGTGTGTGTGGGATGGTGTGTGTGTGTGGGGAGAGTGTGTGTGTGGGAGAGGGTGTGTGTGGAGGAGGTGTGTGTGGGAGTGGTGTGGGAGAGTGTGTGTGTGTGTGGGAGAGTGTGTGTGTGTGGGAGAGTGTGTGTGTGTGGGATGGTGTGTGTGTGTGGGAGTGTGTGTGTGTGTGGGGGTGGTGTGGGAGTGTGTGTGTGTGTGGGAGTGTGTTGTGTGGGGAAGTGTGTGTGTGTGGGGAGGTGTGTGTGTGGGAGAGTGTGTGTGTGTGGGAGTGTGTGTGTGTGGGGTGTGTGTGTGTGTGTGGGAGAGTGTGTGTGTGTGTGTGGGTGTGTGTGTGTTGGGGGGATGTGTGTGGGGTGTGTGTGTGTGTGGGGGTGTGTGTGTGTGTGTGGGGTGTGTGTGTGTTTGTGTGTGTGTTTGGGGTGTGTGTTTGTGGGGAGTGTGTGTGGAAGGGTGTGTGTGTGGGAGGTGTGTGTGTGGGAGAGTGTGTGTGTGTGGGAGGTGTGTGTGTGTGTGTGGGAGAGTGTGTGTGTGTGGAGGTGTGTGTGTGTGTGTGTGGGGAGTGTGTGTGTGTGGGAGAGTGTGTGTGTGGGAGTGTGTGTGTGTGGAGTGTGTGGAGGTGTGTGTGGAGACTCCAGGATAGTGTTACCTAGGCGTGGCAGTCTTACAGTGAATGGAGATGCACATGCCATCAAGACAACCACTACCACTACTATCATCACCACCACCACTACGAATACTACTACTTTGCTGTCACTCGGAATCAAGTATGACGATCACCCAGATATGATACAATGATATGAGTTATTAAGGATGTCACCTATGTTAGTGAGCTCCGAGGGGACTAGAGAGGCCAATACAGGACCCGCAAGGTTTTCCACAGATGTTGCACGAGTGGAGGGCTACATCTAGTGCGGGAGGGGCGACGGCAGCACCTTTCTAACGCTGACGGATGCCTTCTTCGTCATTAATTAGGGAGTTATCGTCGAATGAACCGAGGGAGGCCGTGCAATGCGGAGTAATTGGGCCATAGATTGCTTGAGTGGATTGAAAAATTCACACATATTTTGGTGATCTGCCATTTGTCCTTTTAGATCCAGAAGTTTGCTCTGGGCCATCACTCTCTTTTGGAGGAAGGTATCAGCTTTGGTCCGAGACAAAGGGTTGTTCTGCTAGTGCTTGAGGGGCAGCGCGTTTACCATTGACGAGTATGTCGATTTCCGGTTTAGTTTCATCAAACCATTGCTGGTGTTTTAGTTGATCTGGCCGAGGGTCTCGCTGCAGGATTTTGTGATGACAGTATTGAGGCTAAACCCCAACCACCCACAACACTTATGTACCTGTAATTTCAGCACTAATTAAGCACAGGTACCAATACCATATTCTGATACCTCACTTGCTAGGGTACCAGGACAATATATTAGTACCAGGTAACTTGTTAATATCACTCGGGAACCATAATAATGCCACTCGCTTAAAAGTACCAGACCTTAGAGACCTCAATGCATGGTAGGTAGTGATCTAACATGCACCTCTCTCTCTTCCCCATCACCTCCCCTCCCTCAAAACAGCTAAAATACGTACCCATTCACATCTGGGTGGACTAGAGGCGCCCTGACTATAACCTAACCTAACCATAACACGATACACCTCTCTTAAAACACACAAATTTCTCTCAATCTCTCTATTAATTACACTCTTAAGATAATCGTTCCCCTTTGAGACACACACACATTAGCTCGTCACCCGTGTCTGATTATATACTATTATTCATAAATGTAAAACCTGTAGCAACCTGATGTATTATGTATTCTGTTCTCCTACAAGATACAAGGTAATGTATTCTCCGGTACAGGATACAGTGATGGCGGCCTGATTTGTGTTTCTTTTGGGCTGTAATCTTTTGTTTGGGTTTTTTACTTACTGTCAGGATATGTGTGGTGTTGTTGATAGTGATGGTGATAGTGGTAGTTGTAGTGGTAATAGTGGTAGTTATAGTAGTAGTTGTAATAGTAGTAGTGGTGATAGTAGTGGTAGTAGTAGTAATGGTGGTGGTAGGTGTGGCCAGTGCAGCGCCATGCCCACAGCACCACGCCCACAGCACCACGCCCATAGCACCACGCCCTTATTGTGTCATATCTCTCTCATTATATTTACTCTTCATTACGGGGGCGAGAAATAATGATGATAATAATAACAATGATAATGAGACTACCACAACTACTACTATTGCTAATACTATCCTCCTCCTGCTACTACTACTACTACTATTACGACTACTACCAAGAACAAGAACAACAAGAACATTACCAATAACAACAAAGATGAAAATCCCAGACGTAATTAAAATTCCCGACACGATACAGGGATTCGAACGCTGGCAACGACCTCGGCACGCCAAGTATTCACCAGCCTTGATCATAACAGGCCTGGCGACGTGATCATTCCTTTCAACAGCTGAGTGCAATACTGCTAGTTGAGGTTAGGGTGTGTCCCGTTCATTACTGCTGGTGAACGTGTTGTGAACGTGAGAATATCGGGGGTTTAATGTGTATGTGTGTGTGTGTGTGTGTGGGTGTGTGTGTGTGTGTGTGTGTGTGTGTGTTGTCCACGAACTTGACCCAAATAAGAAGCTGCAGGAAGGCACGAGAAGATCCTAGTACTAGTGGTGGTAGTAGTGGTAAAGGGTGGTGGTAGTAGTGGTAAGTGGTAGTAGTGGTAAGTGGTAGTAGTGGTAAGTGGTAGTAGTGGGTGAAGTGGTAGTAGTGGTAAGTGGTAGTAGTGGTAAGTGGTTGTGGTGTAGTGGTGATGTTGATGGAGGTGGTGGTGGTAGCGCTAGTGGTGGTAAGTGGTAGCAGTGGTGGTAAGTGGTAGTAGTGGTAAGTGGTTGTGGTGTAGTGTTGATGGAGGTGGTGGTGGTAGCGCTAGTGGTGGCAAGTGGTAGTACTAGTAGCAGCATCATAGGAGCTGTTCCTTTAGTTACCAGACCTGTTTTTGCTGTTCTCCTTCCCTTGCCTCGGCCCTACCTCTGTGAATGAGGAGGGAGGGAGGAAAAAAGGATGGAGGGAGGAAAGGATGGAGGGGAGGGGAAAGGATGTGAGAGGGAGGGAAAGGATGAGGGAGGGAGAGGAAAAGGAGGGTGGGGGGGGAAAAAGGAGGAATGAATGTGGGAAAGTAGGAAATGAAACAGCATCAAGCATTTATTTCATCATCAATATAATCTAAACACATCTATCTCAAACTAACACATTTCTCTCTAATAAACCTAATGTTTTCTTTTTTACAAATATCCACTACCAGACATATAACATCTGGCATATTATATAAGGTTAAGGGTATATAATTTATTTTGGAGGGGTGAGGTGTGAGGTGGAGGTGGAGGTGAGGTTGGGAAGGAGGGTGGGAGGTGAGGTTGGGAGGTGGGAGGTGAGGTTGAGGTGGAGGTGGGAGGTGAGGGTTTGGAATTGGGAGGTGAGGGGTTGGGGGGAAGGAGGGGGTGTTGATACAGTAAGATGGTATAGATCGTGATGTAATGAGGTCAGGGAAGACGAGTTGTGATTCTTAGTTTCCCGGGTGAGCTGTCAGGGATGGTGTGGGTGGTGGGGAGAGAGAGAGAGGATAGGTAGGAGGAGAGAGGAAGAAAGAGGAGGAAGAAAGAGGAAGAAAGAGGAGGAGGAGGAGAAATAACATTGGGGATGATCGTAATTTTTTTTGACCTTTCATTACTACTACTACTATTATCACCATCCCAACCCTTTCACCTCCCCACTACCATCATCTCTACCACTATCACCAACACTACCACCACCACTAACCCTACCACTACCATCACCACCACCACCACCACCCCTACCACCATCACTACCAGTAAAATTTTCCTGCATTAACTGGAGCGAAATTATCAGGCCTTGAGGGTTCAGTGGTGTTCGAATCCCTTTCTCTCTCCCCTAAATTTGATAGACATTGATTTCATTTTGATGTTCGTATTCCTTCAGCTTGACTTCCGAGGGTTTCTTTTGATAGATTTGTTCGTTTTTATGCCTTCGACTTTGTTTTTGTTGATTATGTTGAGAGATGTGTTCGTATTCATGCTTTCGACTTTGTTTTAAATGTTTATGTTTAGGAGTCGTGTATGTTTTCTTCCATCTTGACTTCCTAAGGTCTGTTTTGATAGATGTGTTCGTATTTATGTTTTCTTTGAATTTCGAAAGCTATAATTTATAACAGAAGCGTTCAATTTTACCTTCATTTTACGAATTTCGAGAATGTGACGAGAAGAGTATGGAAGGACGAATGATTGAGGCTTGTCATTAACCACAGCGACCATAACCCCTAGTCCTGTCTTCCCGCGCTTTTTTTTACCCTCGTCAACAATGTCTGATATGCTAAGATTAATCCCTTATTTCTCACTGTTTAATTCTCGAGTCAGGATCGGGGTTAGATTAATTCACATACATAGGATGGAGTAGATCAAGTGTGAAGGTTCCCGTCATGTAATATTCATACAGTATACATATTAGGATATAACTCTGTATATGTTAGACGCGTTCTAATTTTAAGGTCATGATCAATTAACACATTTAGTAGTTTATTCAGCAGATGCCCTCTTGTGTTGACTTCCCGAATCTATATAACTATATACACCAGATGCGACGTCAACAAGACACTTCGGTATTTATTTGTTGTTTACATTCTTGTGGTAGTTTATGTCGGTGTTTTATCTCGTGGGTTGTTGAGGGGGAGGTTTTAGTTTAAGTTGTTGTGGGTTTAAGTAATGGTGTAAAGTATAAATAAGTGAACTAAAATAGAGATGGGTGTACTTAC